TGATTTATGCAGAGATGAGGTCTCGCTGCCCAGGCGGGTCTCGACCCCGCGGGCTTGGGCAATCCACTCACCTCAGCCTCCCAAAGGCGTGGGATTACAGGCTGAGCCACCGAGCCCGGCTTTAATTTTTTTTTTTGAGTTGGAGTCTCACTCTGTCGCCCAGACTGGAGTGCAGTGGCCGCTCCCGGCCACCGCAGCCTCGACCTGCTGGGCTCTGGCGATCCTTCCGCCTCAGCTTTCCAAGTAGCCAGAACTACAGGCGGGTGCTACCATGCCTGGCTAATTTTTTTATTTATTGTAGAGATGAGGTCTCGCCTGCCCAGGCGGGTCTCGAACCCGCGGGCTCAGGCAATCCACTCACCTCAGCCTCCCAAAGGCACGGGATTTCAGGCTGAGCCACTGAGCCTGGTGAATATCCCACTTTTAAACCTTTCAATGTTTACCATAAATTTGAGAGATTGAAAAAGACTTGACCTATATTTTAGTCCTGAAGTAGATGGCCAGACGGGAGTTCAGTCCACGTTTAAGAAGGATTGCTAACTGAATCAAGCGATCATAGATTTTGGCCAATGTCTTAGGAAAAAGTGTGATTATCAAGAGTTGCTAATATTGACTATTATTTTGAGGGGACCTTATAAGTCATGTTGTACCGATCAGGAAGAAAGATGAATTGCCCTTTTTTTCTACAGATAGTCTCCTTTAGAAAGGTCTATGAGATAGCAATGTAGGGTACAGCAGTGTGACAACTATATACACATGTGGCAACCAAGTCAAAGCTTCAGTTCCTAAGGCTATTTCTCTTCTACTTTTTCTACTTTTTTTCAAGAAGTATTTTTTAACTAAAAAACAAAACTCTAAATGAAACATGACAATCTTTTCCCTCCAGCTGCCTTAAAAAAATAGCATCTTAGAAGGAAGGAGTGAGGAAAGCGAAAGGGAGGTGGTACACAGCGGACAATGTTTATCATATTTATTGATTCAATGCCTTTTTTGGTATGTAAAAATGAAACAGGATTCTCTCTGTCTCTGTCCTCAAGAATCAGGTTTTGCCTTTTAGTCATGTTATAGATCTGTACAGAGGGATGAAGAGGTGTTTTAAAGGTCACAGGAATTGGTAATGTGTGCTCTCTGCAGTTTTTCAGACCACGGAGTCTACAGTTTGTCATTTTTCTAGTCAATTACAGAGGCAGAAAGCGGGAGCCTTATTACTGAGCTCTCTAAGGGATAGTGGGTCCTTTTCCCAGTTCACACTGACCTTGGAGCCAAGGAGCAAAGTATTTTCTCTGCTTTATTGCACACTTAGGTTGGTTGCATGTCTGTGTGTGCATTCAAACAGAAAACTTCTTGTTACAAGTGGCATTTAAGAAGTAGCTAAGGTATGCTTGCATCACAGATGCTTGTTTTTGTGTTTTTCTAATTAGACCTTGAGCTTTTATAGAATCTTCTTCAGCTGGCCAAGTCAATGTTTGCCTGTATGGACACATGGTGACTTTGATTAGAGAGTTTTTTATTTTTAAATTACTGAGCAATCGATTAATTACTTCCACTTACATAAGAAACCATAAGTCATTGACTTGTCCCAGACATTACGTGTGAAAATCACTTCTACAAAATCATCATCACTTGTTGGGGGGGATGTACACTATATTTCAAAGCATTAAAAAAAGCCAAATTACCCATCTTTTTCTTTCTTTGGTCTTCATTTCATCAGGCACAATGGTAATATGCAAAGGAGAAAGAATTTTAAGGACATTTATTGAGACAGTCAATGAATTAAGAAAAAAGAGTTTGTTTCATTGTCTCCTATATTTGCCCAGAGCTTCAAAGGAACCAGATAAGCTGCCATCAGAATGCGATTGGGATCCCGAGAATCACAAAAATCCCAGGAAGCAAACATCATTGTATACTTCTGATTAGGATTCCAGCCTTAGTTCAAAGTTTATATGTACCTTTGGTCTTCTTCTTAAACTCCTTAATTTCCTCATAGTTCTCCTAAAGAGGTTGAAAATATATCCCACGCATCTTACTTTTTGGCTGGTACTGTTGCCAGGACAGTTTAAAAAAGTACAAGGGGGTACCCCCCGAAAAAACCCAGAATCTATTTTTGAAAAATTGTATATTATTTTTACACTTTTAAACTTCAGTCACTTTCTCTCTGATGCAATACATTTATCGAGGTGTGCTTTTTCCACTGCCCCAAACAGCTTCTGAACTTGTCAATGGTGATGTCTTTCAGGGCTTTTGCATTTTATTTCACCTCTCCCACATCAGCCAAACATTTCCCTTTGAGGGCTTTCTTTCATCCAGGGAAACAAACAAACAGACAAAATGTGGTTCAGGGTGAGATGGGGTGCATAGGGAGCGTGGTGCTTGGGAGTCATACCATTTTTGGTCAAAAACTGCTGAAAGCTCAGCGTGGTGTGGGTTGGTGTGCTCGTAAATCACCCGTCATGAAATGGGCATCAGAAGAACCCCCCCCCCAAAAAAAAACCACTGAAGCTGAATGCAGTCGCAGCTTCTTTCAAAAATGCTAGCTGGTACACTGATGCTCATGGGTTCTTAGAACACTTACCCAATGGGGAAACCTGTACTACAAACGGGTTCATCCTCCAAAAGATAATTCTGGGCTTTCCAGTCCCCTCTCGTATTTTGTAAATGAACTTCTCCCTTCCTGAATGGTATTACATGATTAGCTTATTCTTGAAGATAATTTATCTGAGTCCAAACCCTGGGACTGGCATTTTGTTGACTGATTATTTTTTGATTTGCTGTCATCAGAAAGATTTGAAGGATCGGTCCAATTCACCATGAGATAGTTTGCAAGAAAAACAAATACCTATTTACTGAGTGGATCGTCTGCATTCTCATTTAATCTTTTCTTTCTTTTTCTTTTTTTTTGAGTTGTAGTCTCGCTCTGTCACCCAGGCTGGAGTGCAGTGGGACACTCATGGCCACTGCAGCCTCAACCTGCTGGGTTCAGGCGATCCTTCCACCTCAGCCTTCCAAGTAGCTGGAACTACAGGCGTGTGCTACCATGCCCAGCTTATTTTTTGATGTGTTTTAGAGACTAAATCTCGCCAAGCTGCTCAGCTTGGCCTCAGATCTCCTGTGCTCGGGCAATCCTCTCACCTCAGCCTCCCAAAGTGCTGGGATATCTTTTCAACAACACGATCCCCGCTTCACAAACAAGGGAACAGGCACAGAGAGGGAACATGTCAGCTGGGAATTGCCAGAGTTGGAACTGAAACCCGGGCCTGCCTGACCTCCAGCCTGGCTCATTTTGTGATGTCCCTGCCTGCTGGTGCCTGCAAATGGTCCTTTGATCACCAGACCGATGAACACATTCTGGACTTTTTGGGGCATATGCATGAATTTGGTTTAGAAGCCATATCCAGCCTTTTCTCTTTGCATTTCAAATGACAGTTGCTGACAAAGAAACTCTAGGCATGTGATGGGATTAGTGCCTGTGCTCTTTCCTCCTAGACCATGAACTTCTCTAACTTTTATCCCCTGATGCAGTGTGGCTGAAATGTACATGCTACAGGCATGCTAAAACTTTCCTTTTTTTGAAGGCAAGGAAGCATCTATGACTAACCGGCACTGCTCTGTGAGGAGGGACTTCTTTCACTAACAGCCAGACATTACCTCTGCTTCTTGATTGATTTTAGCTAGTTTATAAGTCATGAAGCTCCAGAGAGAGACCAGGCTTCCTGGCCAAGACCCTCGTCTTGCTAATTAAAAAAAACCTTTATTGAGGTATCATTACCATAAACAAACCGGACATTTTAAGGAATACAATTTGATAAGTGCCACTATATACCTGTGAAGCCATTACCATTGCCACAATCAAGATACTGAGTCACCTGACTCATGTCTCTTGCAATTTTTCCCATCCACCTTACTAAGCAATGACTGATCCGTTTGCTGTCACTATTGATTAGTTTGCATTTTCTAGAATTTATTATACATGGGATAATGTAATTTTGTTTGATGTCTTTCACTCAACTTGTTTTACTTTGAGTTGCACTCATATTGTGTATTCTGACAGTTCACTCCTTTATTGAGAATAGTCTACAGCAAGACTATGCTACAATTTGTCTATTGTCCCATTGATGGACACTTGGGATGCCTCTAGATCTTGGTGATTACAGATAAAGTGGCGATGAATATTTGTGCACAAGAAGTTGAAGGCATATGCCCTTCAACTAAACTGAATGACTGCTAATAGCTTTCCACGTAGTTTTCTGCATGTACTGTAAGAGATAAAGCAATTTTAAGGTGGACTTTCTACCGCCCATCCTAATATTGTAGAAACAATGAATGTCCTCACTACTTCCAGTTGTGTTAGGAGAATCACATTAGGTCACTGATACAAAAGCACTTGTTCAATTGTGGATCAACCTTTTTACAAATGAGGGAAGGAAATGGTCCTGGGAGACTTGTAGGGTTTTTGATTTTCTGTGGGGATCTGGCCTCATAAGAAAGCAATTTCCTTTGCAACAAATTTTCTTTACAATAGTCTGAGCATTGCTGTTAATGATTACAAGCATGCCCCTCTCATAAGCATATTGTTTATTGTATTCAGGGCCCAAAGTATTTTCTGGTGCACGGAGTCTTCATGGTATAATAAAAATCATTGGAAAAATGTGATCAAACTTACTTGATAAGCATCTTTGGCAGAAATAAGAATAAATCCTTACAGAGGTAAACACTTGGGAAAGATTCAGCTTCAAGGGATATATCTTTAACATTTTCACCTTGAAAACTCATTACCTAACATTTTGGTCTTCTAGAATAGATTTTTTTTTAAGATTAGCTTTTCATTTGTCAAGAGGAGGGGATAATTTGAATATTCACCAAGAGAAAGATTCCCATCGTTTCCTCCAGGTTTAAATTAAAAACTCTTTCTTCAGTTGCTGTGGTGTATCCAGAAGGTCTTTCCATCTATGCAGAGTGTTTTCCCATCAATTTCTATTTGCCTCTAATCCATCTGATTTCACCTAAAATACTACAGAGCAGCATCTCAAAATAAAGAAAAACGAGGTTGTTCTGGTAAATGTTAAGGGTTTCATCTTTTATAACTTCCACTTTCAATACTTGCTTTCTCTGGAGTGATGCAAACCAGAGGGGCCTGATGGCTCTGGAAGAAATGAACCAGGAGTCCCTTCGGCCTTAAGGCAGGAGACAGGGAGGAAGCCAGGAAGACTCTGCCTAGGCCAGCTCCCTGGTTTTCAAGGCTCCTTCAGGGCTGATAGGTGCCCAGAGAAAAAAGAACGCTTCTACACTGCTGGTGGGAATGCAGACTAGTACTACCTCTTTGGAAGACAGTGTGGCAATTTCTGAAAAAAACTAGAAATTGACCTTCCATATGACCCAACAATTCCCCTATTGGGGATATACCCGGAGGAACTCAAATTATTCTACTAAAAAGATACCTGCACACGCATGTTTGTTGCAGTTCTATTCACAATAGCAAAAACACAGAACCAACCATGTTGCCCATCAAAGCTGGACAGGATTAAAAAAAATGTGGTACATATGCACAACGGAATATTACGCAGCCATAAAGAGGTACAAATATATGGATTTTGTAGCAACTTGGATGGTTTTGGAGTCGATCATGCTCAGTGATTTATCACAGAAACAAATAACTGAGTTCCATGTGTTCTCACTCATAAGGTGAACTTGAACAATTATAATGCTATAAGAAAGTGATTGGCAGTAGTGGAAAACGGTCAGGGGAAGGCGGGGTGGGACTGGCAGTTGGGGGAAACTGTTAGGGGAGGAAGGGGCATACCGCATCAACAAGGGTATCTGCATGATCAATGTTTGTATACCTAACCCTGAATTGTACCCCACATCTTTATAATAATAAAAAAAAATACCATGCTATGACCTACCTGTAGATGTTTTGAATTACGAAAACTTAAAGATGTAAAAATTCTTGCTAAAAAGCATGAACCCACAAGAGTGTGTTGGTAGGCTCACGGGGACAGGCCAAAGCCGAGGGAACAAAACCAAACCCACATTAGTATGATACTACCCTATGGTCTTATTTCTTTTATTTAAAATAGTAATCCAGTAATTTTTGAGTGGTAATATACTACTATGACTCAGACATCAAAATGATATAAAAGGTATGTTTTGGGAAGTCTTGTTTCCTCTCCTGTCTCTGTTCACCTAATTTTCTCAACCCCCTATACCCAAGGGGTCGCTTTTTATTAAGTTCACCAGGCTTTTTTGGGCAATGCGGTTTAAATAATGATGATATTTGGCATTCTGTAGGAAACTAGGCAATCAGACACCAAGGCAGTTAATCGCTACTTTTTGGAATCTGTCTCACTGAGGTGTTTTCCTAAAAAGTTCATTGCTAACAATATTGCCAAGGACAGCAGCTGAGTGCTCTATAGAGAGAACAGCTGGAAGGAAGAAACACAATTCCTGTGTCACCCCTTTAGAATCACCTGGAGTCATGTTCTAATTAGATAATTCCTTTATCTGAAATGTATTCAGTTTCCAGGATTTGGCTGTGCTGAACCACTAGGTAAAAAAGGACCTTATCATCCTCATGACATTGCTTTTAAAAGAGAGAAAGTAATTTAAGAAGTGAGAAGAATCCAATTCTCATACTTACCTAAATCCTAACACATGGAGTTTTTTGAATCCTGGAAGTTTCTTGAGTACCTTCTGTATCTGCAGAGAGAAAGAAGTTTATAAAATACTCCTTGGTTCTGCTGTGACAAATCTTTCCTAACTGAAAAAGTCTAAACACATTTGTTGAATAGGAGAAACATTGAAAATGGAAAATTACAACGATATGTGAGACCAATCTCTTTGTTCTCAGTCATTTCTGAAAATCGGAGGAAAATATTTTACTATTTATTTAAAGCCACCATTGGGTAGATCTGACCTGCTTTGGTGGTCACTTTATTACATAAACTACGAAGCAGTTTAAGGTAATATTAGGAGGAAAATTTTTTTACGTATAAGATTTTCACTTAGGCAATTAGAATAACATTTTTCTGACTCTAGTACTCTCATATTTTCTGAATTAATGATATGGCTTGGAAATTCTCTAACCTGAAAGGGATTATTAAATCCAAAATGGATGCGGGGCTCACATAAATTGCTAGAAATAGATTAGGCTGTGCTCTTCGATTCATGGGGACTTCACAATCAATCTTCTTCGTTAACTGACCTTGCTCATGAGACCTGTTGTCGGAATGTTTTATAGTTGCCATACCCAACTCCTCTGTCCGCCACAGTCTGGATTCTGCCCTGGGCTTCACCCAGGAAGGAGGGTTTTCTCCAGGCCTCTGTCTCTCCAGTTCTCTCTAAATCCAGTGGCATTTTCTGTTCCTGCTCTCTTTCCTGGCTATCTTTCAGTCTCTGTGACCACTCTGGCAGTCTTCCTTTCTCCCTCCTGTTCCTGTCTTCACTCTCCTGTAAACATACGGAGTCTGTGCCTTTCCACCTCAGCCTCCTTGCCACCTCACCCCTCCTTTCATTTCATTAGCTCGACGGTAGACACCCTGTGCTTGGCCCTCGGGACACTGACACGTGGGTTGGCACTGCCCCATCCAGCTTTCCTATGAGAAGCCTGGAAGGCAGACAAGACCGAGAGGAAGGAGTGGGGGTTAGTAGGGATGCTGGGGAGTGGTGGGGTGGGGAGCAAAGCCTGGTGAAAGGTGAGGCTGAACGGGTGACACTCGGCCCTGTTGTCTCCTTCCTGTCCCTCTCGCTGGGGGAATCTCAGTTTCTCCTGCGGATTTGGTGATCACCTGAGACTCAGCTTTGAGGTCTCCACTCGAATAACCCAACATTGGACACGAACTCAATCTGCCTGAACCAGAGATATTCTCTCTCTCACATCTGCCTTTCACCCCGGCCTGTCTACGCAGGCGAGGTCTTGAGCCCTGTAGCCTTCTAACCGGAAAGCCCAGGTCCCTAGATCCCTCCCTCTGTGTCCCTCCATGCAGCCTTCAACATCTGTTGGTTCAAACTCCACAATGTCTTGCTTCCACTACATTTTTCCAATTCTCAGGGACAGCGTGCCCTTCCCATATGCCCTCCGAGACGGCCGAAATGGGTTTGTGTGTTTGTGTGGGAATGAGAAGCAATGGTCTTCTGGGTGTGTTAGGACGGGGGCGGGAGGTGATGTTAATTGCTCTGTTAATTCATTATCAGCTGCTCTTTGCTAAAACAACAACAACAACAACAACAACAACAACAACAACAACAACAACAAAAACCCTTGCTGGGCTGCACTGCCTGGTGAATAAAGCCCAACTCTTTAGAATGGCAACAAGACCCTCCAGAATCTTCACACCATGCCCTCTCCCCAAATACCTTACCACTCACACCTCCTGCCACCATTATCCGCTTTGCCAATATCGTGTCCTTTAGTGATACTAAACTGACTTCTGTCCCTTTTCACACTTCTGTTTCTCCAGGTGGCTACGAATGACTCTCTCTTATCCAAGGTGCATTTTCCCCACTTTCTGCTTACTGACCTGCCCCTCCCCCACACCCATTGTCTAAGCCACCTTGAACATCTGGACTAAAAAAGCATTTGTAGAGCCCCAAAGTCAGGCTCGGGGATGTCTTCTCTCAGTAGAACTTATGACAGCATGCCCCATAAAAGTTGAGGCACAGGCCAGTTTCTCTCACTGAGATTATGATTCTCCTTGGCCTCGGGGGCCGTGTCTTGTTTCCCCATCCCATTTCCCTTCCTCCTCGTGTCCACCTGCTGGCCATCCATGCAGGGATTCGGCGCGTTTGGTTTAATTGAGTGCACCTCATTGTTCTCTAAACTTATTAGCGTTCCACCATGTTGTCACCACGTCAAATATTACTGCCAATTCTACGACGGCCATGCTAAGGACTGGAGCTGCCATGCAAGACAATCCCAATATCGCTTGTATTGGGCTTTGAAGGCCGTCATGGACTTCCCCCTGCCCCAGCAGACCGATTGACCTTCTGATTATAATTTTGCTCACTGCTATTAAAAGTAGTTTTTATATGCTAAACACAGAGCAACCACAGCGGTGAAAGGGGTTCAGCTTTTGAGTGATGAGGAGATATTTCTGTAAGCCTGGGTTTAAATACCCGTTCAACTCCATTCTAACTGCTCTGGAGTCTAACGCTTGCTCTCTCTAAAGGGTGATCTCCTCAGCCCCAAAAGGATAATGATGACAACCCACGAGTAACACCTGCTGTCAGAGTTGGGCAGGGTTGGTGATGCCGTGTCACCGACTTGCTTGTTCTCTCCTTCTCCTGTGGGACCATGAACTCCTGAGGTCACAGTTTTATTGCCCTAGTGGCCTCATAGCATCAGCCTGCAAAGGGCAGAGTGAGCCCTTAATCTGTTGGTTTTGAAAGACTCAGTGGAGGGAGGCATGATGGGGATCCCTGTAGAGGTCACGGGCAGGAAGCCCGTGTGGAAATAGTTGATCAAGCACAGAACTGGCCCTGTGACTTCATAGCTGCCTGGGTGCCATTCCAGGAGACCTGTCCAGCCGGTTTATTTGTTTGTTTCCATTCCTGTCCAGCCGATTTATTTGTTTCTTTCCATGCCCTCTTTGCAGACCTGTTTGCAATTGATTAAGAATCAGCTTCGCTTAGGGGAGTGAGGCAGGCATCTAGGGAGGGCATGACAAAAGCCTCAGTTAATTCTGCTGAATAATCTTCTGGGGACCTTCTAACCATGGTGCACTAACCACTAAATTGCTAATTAAGTGCCCAGTTAACCTTATTAATAATGCCAAACACACAGGCCTTCCGATTCTGCTGTAATGTGTGCTAACGGACTGGAAAAGGCAGAGCGTTGTGTTCTCACGAATGTTTGCACAGGAGAAAGCATTCAGACAACAGCTAAGTGATTCCTCTCGACATCTGTATTAAATTGCTCGTTAGGTTTATTGTGGAAATCAATTTACCGCAGAGCACCGTTCATTAATTCCTGATGAAGTCCGAATGGCTGTGTTAATGGGGGCGCTGGGCTGTGGTGGGCTGATGGGTCAGCTGACTGCCAGGTGGCCTGCCCTACTCAGAAGCCCAGAAAAAGAACAGATACAGCAGCAGAGGGACCTTGTCCTGGAGGACTCGGTGAGAGTGCCAGGAAACCAGCGGGACTGATGCCACTGGTCCCTGGGGCAGGACCTGCAAGACGTGCTCTTCTTTGGCCGATGAGTTTTTCAGAGGCCGGAAGGGCACGCCCATTTGATGATGACACAATAGTTCTTTCCCCATAAATATTACTTGGGGAAAAATGGAGAATGTGGCATAGTGGTTAAGAGCGAAGGTTCTGCCTGGGTTGGAATCTTGGTTCTGCTGGATAATGGGTGTGTCGCCATTGGGCATATTAAGCTCTCTGTGCCTCAGTTTCTTCTTATAAAAAGGAAAATAATATTACTTATAGGATTGTGAGAACAATCAGATGAATTAATATGTATAAGAGCATTAAGAGCGGTACTAGCTATTGTTACTATATGAGAAGTTTAGACTGGGAAAGAGACATTGAGATCATCTTTTGTAATTTCTTTTTTTTTCTTTTTGAGTTGGAGTCTCACTCTGTTGCCCAGGCTGGAGTGTGGTGGCACGCTCACGGTCACCACAGTCTTGACCTGCTGGGCTCCGGTGATCCTTCCGCCTCAGCCTTCCAAGGAGCCGGAACTATAGGCATGCACTACCATGCCCAGCTAATTTTTTGATTTATTGTAGAGACAAGGTCTCACCATGTTGCCCAGGCTGGTCTCAAACCTGCAGACTCAGGCAATCCTCTTGCCTCGGCCTCCCAAAGTGCTGGGGTTATAGGTTTGAGCCACCATGCCTGGCCATCTTTGGTAATTTCGAAGGGAAGAAGTTCAGGTCAGGGAAAATGAGTGATCCTCAAATTCTCACATCTAATTTTTGGCAGACGTAGGGCTAGAACTCGGATTTTTGTAAAAATCCCAATACATTTGCATCATTCTGCATCAGATTGTTTTAGGTACTTAGAACATTGACAACAGGTCAGTGAAGTCTGTGGCCAATTATCCAACTTTGAAGATTCTCTGACTACAGTAAGAATTTGCTGAAAAGCATGTTTCAAAGAACAAACAGAAAGTTAACCAACTGTTCTTTAATTCATTCTATCTAATAATCCATGTCTAAGTACTTCTCTGGTTTATAAACACACCACACTGCTTCTCTCTCTTTGAAGTTTGTAGAGAGGTTTCTTGCATTTGATTGACTGAATGCTGATGCAGGGAGAGGCTGGAGGTTAAGAATGTTCCGTGGCCAGGCGTGGTGGCTCAAGCCTGTCATCCCAGCACTTTGGGAGGCCGAGGCGAGTAGATTGCCTGAGTTCATGGGTTCAAGACTAGCCTGGGCAAGTTGGCGAGACCTCATCTGTACAATAAATCAAAAAATTAGCTGGGTGTGGTGGCATGCTCCTATAGGTCCAGCTACTTGGAAGGCTGAGGCAGAAGGATCGCCAGAGTCCAGCAGGTTGACGCTGGGCTGGCCATGAGTGTGCCACTGCACTCCAGCCTGGGCGACAGAGTGAGAGTTTGTTTCAAAAAAAAAAAAAGAATGTTTCATTTGGCCAGGCATGGTGGCTCAAGCCTATCATCCCAGCACTCTGGGAGCCCGAGGTGAGAGGACTGCCTAAACTCAGGGTTTTGAGACTAGCCTGGGCAGCTTGGCAAGACCTCGACTCTACAATAAATCAAAAAATAAAAGTCAGGCATGGTGGCACGCCCCTGTAGTTCCATCTACTTGGAAGCCTGAGGAGGAAGGATCACCTGAGCCCAGCAGGTCGAGGCTGTGGTGGCCCTGAATGTGTCACTGCACTCCAGCCTGGGCAACAGAGTAAGGCTCTGACTCAAAAAAAAATTAATAAAATAAAATAAAAGAATGTTCCATTGGCTCATTGCCTCTCTGGGTGAGAAATTACTGAGTCTTCCAGGTACCAGAATGGTCATGGTGAGGACAATTCATGTCCATCTCGACTGACCTTAAATGTATTTCATGGTCATGTAATCTCAGTGAAGCTTCTATTTTCAGCTGCATTTATATCAGTGATAACTGAGCAGTTAATGGCATCCCAAGCTTTGTATTAGGAGGGTGGGCTTCAGAGATGAAAAGCATTTTCTGCACTCAAGGGGGAGCTTTGTAGCCTGGTGGGTGAGGGGGGTAGGTGAGGGGGGAGGCATGGCAAAGGTCACGGACATGAAGACAAACAATCTCCAGACACTCTTGAGCCCGGCAGAGAGGCACGGTCCCAGAATGGGAAGGGGGAATTTTCCATGATGAAGCAGGTAAAATGAGGCTTCGGGAAGGGCGCTCCAAACAGAGGAGGCCAATTTGCCAGGAGGGAAGGGAAGGGGAGGACAAGGAACTGGTGTGAGATGAGCTGGAAAGAAAGGCACAAGCCTTGCTGCAGCACACAGACACCATGCTCAGCATGGCAGGAGCTGGATTCATCCTGCAGGGATCTGAAGAGTATTTGACTCTATCAGGGCCAGACAGATGGGATGAAGGTCAGAGATGGAGGAGATATCTTGGGAAACCTCCTCGGCGTGGTACTTGATGACACGGGCAATAGAATTGCCTTCCATGTATCACCCATGAAAAATACGTCTTTATATCGCATCAAACTGCAAGGATGGAAATAGCATGCAAAGACAGTTTTATAAATTAAAAGTTCATATTTCATCCCGGCATCTTCTTTACTAGGTGCCTATGTGGTCGTTTTATTTATTTTATTGTATTGAAGTCTACTTTATGGAGCTATGACTCGCATATAAAAAGTTTTGCATATTTCATGTGTATATCTCGATAAATTTGTCTATATGTATATATGCCCATGAAACCATTGCCATAGTGATCATTTAAACATTTGGAATGTCTGCATAATGGCTTTCAGTTAAATGCGATTTAAAAACCTGCTAATATTTAAAGAACATCTAAATGTAAATACAGTGGCTGCCCCTTGCCTAACTTTGGGGCACATACACCTTGCAAGGACCCAGTGGATGCCTGAAACTGCAGATAGTGCTGAATCCTATATACTATGGTTTTTCCTGTACAGACATAAGTATGATGAAGTGCAAATTATAAACTAAGCACGGCAAGAGATGAACAATAGTAGTAAAATGGAGCCACTATGACACTAGCCTGTTTAAAAAGTGACATGGCTGTGACCTCACACTCTCAATATAATGCCTGTGTGACGAGACAGAGGGAGATGGATCAAGCTAACATTACGACAGAGTGGTAAGCTACTATTGAGCGACCTTCTGATGATATGTCGGCCTTACAAGTTGTTGATTTCTAGAATTTTCCATTCAGTATTGTCAGACCGTGGTTGACTGAGGGCGGCTTAAGCTGCAGTAAGTAAAACTGTTGATAAGCAGAGGTGGGAACCCCTGTAACTTCTAGAAATAGTGAAGTCGGTATGGAAAACTGAACTGGAGATCCATTGGTCCTAACGTTTTGGGGTCCATGGCAGTTTTTGATTTTTTGTCAACGGTTAAACATGAACGGCTGGTCATGAGAAGTTGAAACTACTGACCAAAGGGTTTGTGTCCTGCTCCTGGATTTGCAAGTTGTGGCTTGGGACGTGGCTGTCTGGGCTGGACCCACTCACCTGAAGCTGGGCCTTCACTGCGAGCTCCTGGTAATATGGGGACTGGGGATCGGTGAACTCTGCCTTGAACTTCTGGTTAGTCAGAGAGATGCTGAACTCCACCTTTTGTTCCAGAGGACCCTCCGACACGGTGAATTCTGTCTCTCTTTCCTGAGTTAAAAACAAAACAAAAACAAACAAGCAAATAAACCTATCAGTATAAACCACAAACAATCGCATGATATATTACATATTGATATTATCTTAAGAAATAGATTATGAAGACTTAAAAGCTCTTAGAATACAAGTCCTATGAACTGGAAGAGGGGTTTGAATTTCAGTGAGAGACAGTACCAAACTGCCACTGAATGAGCTATGGAGAGTTCTAGAGAATGTTGTCACTTTAGGACTGTGTGATCTTCATGAAGACATTTACATGCACACACACAGACACACACACACACACACACACACACACATATACACACACGCATCCACATAAATATTGCTGGTACATCTCTAGGACTGCATCACATCATTTTTATGTTATGTGACCTTATACCCTTTGGTGAAGATTGGATTAGACACAACAACTTATGGATGCTGAGATATTGCTTAATATACTCCATTTTGGGAAAGAGTCTAGGTGGGTTTAATGAGAATATTTGTGCTTCTACGTCGAGTTGTAACTGGTTAGAAAGTACTATTAAGCCACAGGAGTGGCGGACTTGGTGGCTCAGCCTGTAATCCCGTGCTTTGGGAGGCCGAGGTGAGTGGATTGCCTGAGCCCTCGGGTTCGAGACCCACCTGGGCAACTTGGTGAGACCTCATCTCTACAATAAATCAAAAAATTAACTGGGCGTTGTAGCGTGCGCCTGTAGTTCCAGTTACTTGGAAAGCTGAGGCGGAAGAATCACTGGAGCCCAGCAGGTCGAGGCTGTGGTGGCCGGGAGCGGTCACTGCACTCCAGTCTGGGCGACAGAGTGAGACTCCAAAAAAAAAAAAAAAAAAAAAGAAAAATAATTAAAAACAAAAAAAGCCATAGGAGTGTCTGAAATTTCTCTTGGAAGGAGTGGCATATTTGGGTCATTTTTGGAAGCACGTGGTTAAGAACAGAAGCACTGTCCTGAGGATCTGAACTTGGACTCCACTGCCAAGGGCCAGGAGCCACCCTGCTTGTCGTGGGTCTGGCCACCAGTGGGGGTCTCTCATTTGTCTGAATTCACACGGGCTCCCGGCATGCAGCAAGCCCGGAGCTAGGTTTCAGACTTGACTTTGAACATTTTCAGCCTTGAGTGCCCAGAAGATACTGAGAGCTGTATGACTTTCTCAGAAAAGTAAGAATGAGGTCTGTGAAAAATGGAATGTCTCTGGCTGTGCACATGGTCACTTATTGTGAGTTTTGAGTCAAGGAAGTGAAAGAGGAACACTTTCAGTGGAAACTGCCATGGAGGACAGAACCCAACTGGATGGCAGCGGGCATACTCCTCCTCATATCTTGTCACCAGCCCTCCTCTACCTCAGATGTGGATGATGTACAGCCTCTGCCTTCAGCAGGATACAGGAGGACTTGGGTTCACACTAAGTGGGCTTTTTTTTTGAGTCGGAGTCTCACTCTGCCACCCAGGCTGGAGTGCAGTGGCACGCTCACGGTCACCCCAGCGTCGACCAGCTGGTCTCTGGCAATCCTTCCGCCTCAGCCTTCCAAGTAGCCAGAACGACAGGCGCGCACCACCACACCCGGCTAATTTTTGATTTATTGTAGAGACAAGGTCTCGCCAAGGTGCCCGGGCAGGTCTCAAACCCACAGGCTCAGGCAATTCACCTGTCTCGGCCTCCCAAAGAGCTGGGATGACAGGCTGAGGCCCCGAACCTGGCCACACTAAGCAGACTTATAAGGTGTGTCTCAAAGATCTTCATTCATTCAAGACATACACATGGAACATCTGTCTAGGTGTAGTACAGTACTCAGATCAATGTGACATTAAGGTGGCATTTGGTGATAGTCTCTTATCGTTTCATTAGGCAGATCAGACATCCACATGTAACACTTGAATACATTCTCTAAATGCACTAGCGAGAGGTGTCCTCATGTACCCTCAGCCACTGGATTAATTTTTCATGCTTTGCACATGGCATCTTCAGAGACTTCCTGTTACCTGTGGGTTAAAACCCAAATGCTTTTTCCTGACATTCAAGGCCCTCCACAATCTGATTCCAACTTGCTAGAACAATTTTAGTCTCACTTCTTCTCTGCCCTGACTGCCAGACAGCTTCTCCTCACTGTCACTCAGACACTACCTGGCTGGAGGCCCTTGTCACTGCTTCACACTCCTACCCTCAGCATTACACACACACACACACACACACACACACACACACACACACACGCGCGTGCGCGCGCGCACACACACACTCACAGAGACACTATTTCTCTTCTCTCTCTCTCTCTCTACTTCTTACCAATATTCTGGGATTCATTTAAACCGTTGTCTCCTCTGGCCATCTTTGGGTCAACATCTGAACCATATCCTCACCTGGCAACTTCTCATCACACTCAAACCTTGTCACCCTCCCCCCCAACCTGTGTCATCCCCTGGAATCCAGCATGATTCTTACACTTCAACGGATCCCAAAGCAAAAAACATGGGTCCATTTATGTACAAAACTCTCAGTGAATATACATGACAAAGGATCAAACCCCAGGCAACCTGTCCTGGCTTATGTCTTTTGGCCCAGTCTATGTACTTGGCATAGGTCTTCCACCAGAGTACTTAGTTAGACCACTTTGTTGCATTTAATTGCATTAAATTTTTCTGAAAGCAGGCAGTGTCTTGTTTGTTTTAGGTTCATTGGTGTGTGGCCTAACACACTTCAGCAGACTTCTATAAGGCTAGAATAAGAATAGATGGATGCATACAAAGGGTGTTACGAGGAGGATGTAAAGAACGTGAAATGACGCATTCAAGAGTATTTACTCAGAGAAAGGGGCCTGTATTGGATTTTGAAGGAGCTGGGTCACAGGGGGAATGAGAAAAAAGAGAAGGCAGTCCAGCTGTCTTAGAAACTTTAAAGTGTGGACATTGGGATATGGCCAACAACTTTCTCCAACAGTAATTTTCACTGTTGATGGAGCAGCACTTTTCAGAAAAAATGCAATATTTTCGTTGTTTGGTCATTCCAGTAGTTCAACCAAACTACTAAAGGACAGCTGTCCAGCTAAAGGACAGGTGGACCGGCCAGTGGGTCTCACCTCCGTTTTTTCGTGTAGAGCTGGTAAGACTGGACGATGAGCCCTCGCCTGCAGCCTCGAACCGTGCCTTGGAGAGATGTGGAAAGGAAGGTTCCCACCCAGGTTCAGATGTTGACCCAAAGGCAAGAAGAATTGTCCCCAGACCACGGGTTGGGGGTCTGGGGTGGTGGTAGCATAGGGTCGACTAGAGCCAGGATCAGCGGGAAGGCCATTCCTTATACTGCTATCCTTGGGGTCTGCCTTGTTCCATCACAACTCCGCACTCACGCCTATTGAGGAAAGTAATTCCCTGCTTGAGCACTAAGGGTCTGGGTTCAAAGCTGTTTGGGGAGGTTGAAATTTCCCCTTTCCTTTGAAATCCAAATTCTGTAACGATCCCCTCACCTGCACACCTTTCACTCAGAGCAGTGGTCAGGGCCCCTCTTTGCCTTAGAATGCAGTGTTTGACAGACAGGATTTTGATCATTTTGATAATTTTGACATATTCATGCTGATCACGACTGAGAGCAAAACCTTCACTCCTGCTGCCAACATGGGATGAGACTTCAGTGAAGAAAGAGCTTTGTGATTGATTGATTCATTCATTCGATCTAATGGTTGGTGGACACCTAGTGTATACAACGTTCTCTTAGGTACCAGGGAGAAAAGGACCCCAGCCCTCCAGAGCTTATGATTATGCTGTTCCTTGTAATTCTTCCCATCCTATCCTAGTTCTCAATCTGCCTTCCCACTTCCGTTTCTAGGAAAAAGTTAGAATAGTCAATAGAGCACAGTCACTGACTTTTTAAAAAATTTTCTTGGTCTGTATGAATTTATTAAAACAGAAGGACAGGCTGGGTTCTGTGACTCACGCCTATAAATCCCAGCACTTTTGGGAGGCTGTGATGGAAGGAGAGCCTGAGACCTGGAGTTCAAGACCAGCATCGGCAATAATCTTTGGCAGGCTCCAGGTTAAGGATGCAAACTACCTGCAAAGACCACTTTGAGGCTAGGGGCAGTAGCTCACACCTCTAATTCCAGGAGTTCAAGGCTGCAGTGGGCTGTCACTGACTCTTAATCAAGTGATGGGAGTGCAGTCCCAATGTTACTGAGTGGCTGGTTCACCCCTTTACTTTTCTCGTTTTGTTAAAAGAACAAAAAGCCGCCTCCTGGAGAGCTAGGTTGGCTCTTGGAATGTCTTACTGTTGTAAGCATCTTGGTGCCGTTGAGGGTGTCATCGAGAATTTCATTGAGGAGTGTGTCATCAGGAGTGAGAGGGAAGGGCCCGGGTGAGACAGTGGCGGCATCTGTGGAAATTACAAAAATTGCAGACACAAAAATGAGACAGGAGGCGTTTAAATGAGAACCAGGTCAAAATTCCATATGCTTTTTCTGTCACTCTGGAATCTACAGATGTGAAGTGCATTCTGGACTCATTTGTTTTAAGGCCACATAAATATGTTCTTGAAGAAAATAGGACTCATGCCCTTTATCCCACTTAAATTCTTTATTTTCCCCCTGTAGGACTCACATTTAGTGCACCAATATGTGTGTCACAGTTAAGTGCCCTTGCCTGATGGGATGTGATTATTTTTTTTCTTTCTGGGACTCTATAAAGGATACAGACAGATATTTACCTTGGATTTGTTCTTCTGAGAGCTTTCTTTCTTAGAATATCACCCAAGTTTTAAAAATTTAGATTGCTTTAGCAATCATCGAGGCATAGGATTTTTTTTTTTTTTTTGCATTGGAGTCTCACTCTATCACCCAGGGTGGAGGGCAGTGGCATGCTCCTGGCCACCACAGCCTCGACCTGCTGGGCTCCAGTGATCCTTCCACCTCAGCCTTCCAAGTAGCCAGAACTACAGGCATGTGCTGCCATGCCCAGTTAATTTTTGATTTATTGTAGAGATGAGGTCTCGCCAAGTTGCCCAGGTGGGTCTCAAACCTGGGCATGGCAGCACATGCCTGTAGTTCTGTAGAACATTAGAACATTAGAACTATCGATTGCAGTCCTTTCAGAGCAAACCATCACAAACTGTTTCAGATACGTGACGAGTATTTTGCTATATTTAAAGATCTCCATAATGGAAGACTAGGCTCTGTTCAGGTAAAAAAAATCATCGTAACACAAATGCATTTCTATTTTGTTATAAATTGTTATTTCAAAAATGCTCAAGGAAAATAGTGCTCCATTTAATTGCTTTATGGTTAGCCAGAAATAGCTCTCCATTTCAATCTTCATTAAGCAAAAGCATATAATGCGCTAGCTTATTTTTGGGTATTAGGAAGCAGAATATATGGAAAAATGATCCACTCTTTCCTTGCTCTTTGAAGAGTATGTGGTACCCGGGAACCAGCGGTGACAGGTGGCCCACGTCCCTGCGACGTCTGGGAAGTAATTGTGCAGGGTGTGGAATTGTGCTTCCTTGTGAAGGCATGAGAGTGGGTGATAGAATCATCAGAGGAAGGCCCTTTCTTGGCTGATATAATAAGAGCACCCACACTTTACCTGTACGATGACCATGTAAGTACGTAAACCTTAATTGTAACCCACACTTTTAAAATAAAAAAAAGTCAATAAAGAAAATACAGTTGCTGTGGCAATATTGGAATCTTAAAGGATGTGGTCCCTGGCACCCCCCTCCTTGGAAAACCCTGCTGCAAACAATTTAGATGAATGTTATGCACCCTGGACCTCACCATTACTAGTTTAAAGTGGCTTCAAGCTTCATAATTCGATGAATGATTGGCTTATACTACACTTTTTGGTTACAATAAAAAAAAAGTGCTTAGCTAGTGCACTAGAAGAACACATTTTTTTTGTTGTTATTTGGGTATCCTTCCATTATAGTGCCTTGAAAAGAGAAATTATCCAGATTATTAGAAGCGAGAACAATTCTTAGGTCGCATGCGTTTATCTTCTAACACATTTAGGTTCTTCCGGAGATTTCTCACTTTTCCTTCCACCTAAGACACCTGGTAACATTTCCTTATCAAAATCGAATCTCAGGAGCTTGGGTTACAAAAAGTGTCTGGCCCACTGAATGTTCTCCTCTCCCCAGGAATGTTGCATTTGCATTTTAAGGATTCGAGGCTCAGGTTAAAGAGAGAAGACATTTACTTTTTAAATTGCAAATGCATATATCCAAATTCTACTTCACTTGCAAAAATTACCAGGAATGGTGATGGAGGGCTGGAGGGGAGAGGGAAGTTGGGAGAGGAGAGAGCTTTCTTCTGAGTAAAGTCTTCCAAGTGTCCCTGAGTTCACAGGGCCAAGAAGATTTTCTACTGTCTTTCTGCATCAGATCATCCCTGATGCTAAGTCTCTGAGAAATGTGATTAGAATTGCTTTTAGTGCAGTTAGGGGCTGGCAGTTTTTCTGTGACTATATTTTGGAAATACTCCCCAGTGTGGAGGCATCTGTGCACAAATCTCAACTTTAGCTGTCTAGAAGCGTTGGGGAGATCATTCTAAAACATTTGCCACTGGAACTCAAATATGTAGTGGTGATATATCATATTATAACATTTGTCCACCAATCTTTCAAAGTTTTTATAAAGAAAAAAATAATTTGTAAGCAAGGGCATTTAAAGTTACTTTTAAATTTATTTTACTAATTTTAATCTTGTTATTATTATTTTATTTTTTGTTGGAGTCTTACTCTGTCATCCAGGCTGGAATGCAATGGCATACTCACGGCCACTCCAGAGTAGACCGCCTCAGCCTTCCAAGTAACCGGAACTACAGGCATGGGCTACCATGCCTGGCTAATTTTTTATTTTATTGTAGAGACAAGGTCTCGCCAAGTTGCCCCGGCTGGTCTTGAAGCTGCGAACTCAGGCCATCCACTCGCCTCAGCCTCCCAAAGTGCTGGAATTGCAGGCTGAGCCACCGAGCCCGGCCTAATCTTGTTATCATAAAAATTTCTATCAGTTAAACTATACTAACTTTAAACTTTAAAAATGGAAATACAAATTTCAATTCTGTCATTAATTTGAATGTTTTCCACCTGTACAATGACCATTTGTATACCTAACCCTGAACTGTACCCGATATCTTTAAAATAAAAAAATTTGAATGTTTTCCAATATTAATAAGCATTTTTTATATCATTTCTCCTGTAAATAATACTTAAAAAAGGACTGATATATTAGGCTTCACAAGTCAAATTTGAGCTGTTTCCAAAAGAAATAAACACCTATGCAGCTCTTCTTTTTAGTGTTAAAAAATGTGCTTTACTGCTACCTTTTTCTTTTTCTTTTTTTGATTTGGAGTCTCACTCGGTTGTCCAGACTAGAGTGCAGTGGCCGCTCTCGGCCACCGCAGCCTCGCCTGCTGGGCTCCGGCGATCCTTCCGCCTCAGCCTTCTGAGTAGCTGGAATTACAGGCATGTGCTACCATGCCCGGCTGATTTTTTTATTTATTGTAGAGATATGGTCTCGCTGCCTAGGTGGGTCTCGAACCCGCGGGCTCAGGCAATCCACTCACCTCAGCCTCCCAAAGGTGCGGGATTACAGGCTGAGCCACCGAGCCCGGCACCACTACCTTTTTCATAAGTGAAATTGAGCTAAACTTGTTCTGGAATTAGCTACAAGTCAGTTTAAAAATGATAAATTAGCTGAACTTAAGAGAGACACTAAAATACAGTCACAGCAGCTTTCTCTGTATGTCAGAAACAAAGACATGGAAAAACAAAATTATCGTTTGTTTAAAATCCTCTCTTTTCTCAATTTCTAGATTTAAGTCATCAAAATCTGATTTCTTAAAACATTATTAATGCAATTAAAAACCAAATAAACTTAGGATATTTTGCATATTCTTAAATTTTATGGGAAAATGGGAAAACTACAATAGAAATATACATGCAGAAAAATTTCAAGCATATGATAAACATAGGAAAATTATTTTTCTTCCCTTAGGGCAAACCTCAAGAAAAATTGTAATATTCATCACTGATAAGTGTGCAACAAGACACCAGTGTGTTATTTCAACCATAACAAAATTTTTAGGAAAAAAACAATTGGCAAAATCTATTAAAGGCCTTAAAATTCACTATCTTTGATTCAGTAATCTATTTTGAGAAACCAATGATTTGACAAAGATTTAATGTTTGAGTATTATAATTAATTGAAGCTTCATTTGTTATGGCTTATAAACATTTCAGGATGGACTGATTAAGTTGATTGCCGTTGTGTGGATGCAATAGAGTGTTGGAAGTCAATACAGTAATTTTTGTGAAGAAGTTTTAGTGGAATATAAAAAATTATTTATGTCAGGTTAAGTGGAAAAAATGATACAAGCTCTAAGTAAGTATGGGTTCAGTAATCCATACTAAGTAAGTATGGGCTCAGTAATGCATACTTAGAAAAACATGGCAGAAAATAGGCAAAGAGTGTTGCTGCCTCCAAATCATAGGATCGTAAGTGGGTTTTATCTTTATTCTTTCCCACATTTTCCAAGTTTTACAATGAACTGAAAAAATATTTTATAAAGCTAGAAATACAAGCTATTTTTGAGAAGGTGCATTATACATTTTAGCAACTTCAATTAAGAATTGCTTTGTAAATCATTTGCTTTCCTGATGATATGAATCAAAGTCCAGAAGCAGACAAAAAGGATATCTAAGTTTACCTGTTTCACCAGGCTCTCCCAATGTCTTCTCTGTAGATATTTCATCTTTTCTATTAGTACAGTAGAAAAGAAAGACGAGGTGGTGAAAAAGAATGCAATGATAACAGAGGACATAAATTGAAATTTGCCCGAACTGAGTAGACTATAACATTATAGAAAAAATATACTTGAAAACTAGATTTGCTTATCTGCTTATTGCAAAAGTAATACTTGAATATATTCATTGAAAGAAAATTCAAACAACTCCCCAAATTGGCTATGTTTGACTCCAGAATTTTCTGTAAGAGTCGTGGCTTTGTGGGGTCCCGGGAGCTTTTCTGTGGTATGTGAAGCTGGTCTTTGGGCCTGATGTTTTGTAGTCCTCTTTCACTTACACCGGGTCCTTGACCTCAAAAATAATTGATGACAAGATCTGTGACTGAAATATTCTTGCTAAAATCCTGGATCCTCAAGCTTGCATATCCGGAGTCATTACATTTATCTAATAAATCAACTCTTGTGGCTAAAGTAACAGGAGAGAGGGAGATTTCTTTGTCATGCAGGCATATTAAATCTGTCTTCTGGACGCAACTATTGCTTGCAATGGTAACTAGTTAGGGAACTGAGGGTAGGTTTTCAGTGCCATGGAATGGCAGTGTGGAAGATATTCCAGGGGCAGATTCAAGGTCATGGTGGTCAAGTCATCTTTCTATAATAGTTTCCTATTCTAACAAGCTTTGTTTAGAAAGGAGTAGTGGTAGATTTCTTGAGACTCACTGAGAGACTTGTGATTACAAGCTATGGGGTACCAAAGTGCTGGTTCTGTGTCATTAGTACAAAATAATAGCAATTGACCCATATAGTTGGTCTGATTTTCTGTGACCTATGATGATGGTTAGATCAAAGGGAATGGTTAGATGTTCTGTTGTTTTAGAGTCATTTAAATTGTTCATAGCCAACGGTACTACCTACATGTTTCTGCTACACCCCATAGTAATATAGTATACAAACTATTATCAGTCACACTGGCACAGGCTCTGACCAATCAGAATGTGTGTCAGTTGTAAGCATGGCTAACTATAGTGCTGCACACAGTCCAAATACAAACTTAGACTTTACAGTGGAATTAGGAATCAGCTATTTTTGTTAGGCTGTTGCTGGCATCAGACGATGCACTTAATAAGTAATTTCTATGGAGGTTGTATTTAATAGATTCCTACTCTATCCAGCATCATAGCATTGATAGCCTGAACAAATTTGTTTTTTTTTTTACTTTATAGATCTTTGCTTATAGTGCCATCCCTTTCCTCCCAATAATACTTAGTCTCCTTGTTTTGCTTTGCTGTAAAAAAATAAATAGTAATAACCAAGAGTGACTAGTAAGATGTTGGCCATTGCCTTGGCTACAAGTCCATAGTTCACTGTGCAAGAGTTGTGTGGGATGGCCTTTCCTCACTCGTGATGGAAAGGTGTGATTCTGCCACTGAACTGGCAGTCCACCTTGCCACTAAGGAGTCACAGTTTGGGAAGCTGGGCCACTCAATTCTCCCACTGGCTTTTATTTCAAAATCATCTGAAATGGGCAGACTTATGCGCTAGTTGGGTGGAAACATTTTCTGTTTTGTCTTCTTGGATAGGTTTGAAGTAAAAGAGAATTTCTTTTCTTTATTTTTTTTTGACAACTTGGTAACCATGGCTAAGGCAAAAAGTGTCTGTTTCACGCTCTTTCTTTTCCCTCCAGTAGTGCTGGCAAGCATGAGAGTGGATGGAATGATTCTTTCTCTTTTTCTTTCTGGTTTGGGTGATCGCTCCTTGTAATTTTTGACATTTCTCTATCAAGATTTGGTACATTCTGCTGATATTTTTCTTATAAATGGACTCTGCTTTGCTTTCTGATTTTTTAACTGGAGGAGTCTGAAGTATCATTCTAGATTTAAGTGAGAGGACTCCAAATGCCTGCCTCTTGTGAACAAAGGCAATACTCCATCACTAAGATTTTTTTCTTGTCCTGTTATGTTTCCCAGCAATCACTTTTTAAAATTTGTTGGGTACCTGCACAATCAACATTTGTATATCTAACCCTGAATTGTACCCCACATCTTTATAATAAAAAAGAAAAAAAATTTGTAAAGACTGGCCTGATAGACATAATCGATTTACAAACGACATGAGGACTCTGTTTGGTTTTTTCCAGTCGATGAGGAAGTATGAAGAAGCCAAAGAATGCTAATAGGAAGGTGAGTGCCAGACAGAATTCAACGTTCCAGACAGGGCAGTGGCTACAGACTCACGCAGGCCGCTAAGCCATCATGGGAGGTGGGACTCCACCTGGAGCCTGAAAGAGTAGGATTGGGATAGGTAGGATGGAGAGGGCTGGGCCTTCCAGGCAAGAGGGACAGGCTTGGGGTCAGAGTCTGGCCAGAGGAGGATGTGGTCTGGTGGTGATAAGGTGACAGTGGGGGGTCGTGCACACGCATGTTGGAAAGGTCAGGGAGGAAAAAGCCTCCATTAGTTAGTTGGGCCTCTGTCTCCCTGAAGGTTCTAGCAGGAAACAGATAGCTCACTTATAGTGGGGCAATTTGAGCAAAGTTTAACCAAGGGATTATTTCTAAAATTGCGAGAAGAGTACAAGAGCCATCACAATAGGGAGTAGATTGCGCCAGGGCTAGTAAAAGTAGGGTGCTAAAAGACCTAAATGTAAAACCTCAAACTATAAGAATCTGAGAAAATGCAGGAGACACCCTTATGGAAATTGGAACTGGGAACTAATTCCTAATCAGAACCCTAAAGGCCAATATCTTAAGAAATAAAAGAGACAAGTGGGACCTCATCGAACTAATGAGCTTCTGCAAAGCCAAAGAAACCATCAAGAGAGCAGGGAGACAGCCCACAGAATGGGAAAAAATATTTGCCATCTGTATGTCTGACAAAGTCCTAACATCTAGGCTCTACAAGGAACTCAAATGCGCTGAAAGGAAAAACAAACAGCTCCTTTAAAAAGTGGGCAAAAGGCATGAATAGACACTTCTCAGAAGAAGATATAAGGGCAGCCAACAGACATGTGAAAAAGTGCTCAGTCTCACTCATCATCAGAGAACAAAACCACACTGAGATACCACCTCACCCCAGTAAGAATGGCCATCATTCATAAAACAAACAACAACAGATGCTGGTGAGGATGCGGAGAAAAAATAATGCTTCTACACTGTTGGTGGGAATGCAAACTAGTGCATCCTCTCTGGAAGACAGTGTGGTGATTTCTGAAATCGACCTTCCATATGACCCAGCAATCCCCCTGTTGGAATATACCTGGAGGAACTCAGATCACCCTACAAAAAAGATCTCTGCACACGTCTGTTTGTTGCAACTCTATTCACAATAGCAAAAACATGGAACCAACCATGTTGCCCATCGAAGCTGGACTGGATTAAAAAAATGTGGTACATCTACACAACGGAATCTTATGCAGCCATAAAGAAGGACAAATAAATGAACTTCGCAGCAACTTGGATGGATTTGGAGTCGATCATACTCAGTGATGCATCACAGAAAGAAAGAACAGAGTTCCATATGTTCTCTTTCACAGGTGGACCTTGAACAATTATAATACTAGAAGAAAGCATTTGGCAGTGATGGGAAACTGCCGGGGGAGGGGGTGGGATTGGTAGTTGAGGGAAACTGCCAGGGGAGGGAGGGGCACCCCTCATCAGCAAGGGTACCTGCATCATCAATGTTTGTGTACCTCACCCCGAATTGCACCCCACAGCTTTATAATAAAAAAGCGGGGTGCTAAAACCACTCCTAGGCCGGGAGGGGGTGAGAGGACGCCAGGGGCCAAAGACAGAGAAGGACTCTGCGTGGGTGTGTGCATACTTGGCGGCTGCCCTGCCCTCTCTCCCTCTGCTCTCTGTTGGCAGGCCCTAGCCAGAGGCAGAGAGAAAGGGAGACTGGTGAAGCCATCCTTGCCTCTCAGCCTGCTGCACGCAGGGGTGGCCTAGAGAAGGGGGCTGGAAGAACTAGGTGAAAGTGTAGGAGTCTTTAGACAGACACTGAACAGGCCCGGATGCCACAAAGGGATCCTTTTCAGACTTACTATTCGAACAACAGTTGTGCAAGTATGCCAGCTAAGCGGCCGTCGAGGTTAGAGGCAGGGAAATCCATTTGGGAGATCAGATTTGACATTTTTCGCAGAGAAAATTAATAAGGGCCTCGTCCAGGTGGGTGGCAAAGGGAACAGGGACAAAGGAACAAACGTGAAAAGCATGAGAGCCTTGTCAGATAACCCTCTGTGTGGTATTGTCTTCAGATTTCGATTTCTAGATGTTACAAAACGTATGTGATTTGTGAGTTTAGGGTTTGCAGCAACCTCTGTCTTCCTTAATTATTTTCTCTAAGGTGCTCTTCCCTTCCATTTTTCTCTTTTTAAAATTTTGATATTCTGGTTTGATATTTAGTTTTGTTGATGATTTAGCTCAGCGCTTTAGTTGTTTGAGAAATACGAGAGCTTCACAGAATGCCAAACAAGAGTCCGAAACTCAGGCTGCTCTTTGATCGTGTTAGGCATTTTCCTGATGTGACCAAGAGTTTACCATAAAATCTGAAAATCAAGCTATTTTAATTGCTCTAGCTTTGACGTGTAAAGATACACATTAGATACGTATCACATTAGTGAAGCTCTCATTTCATCTGCAAACAACGCATATCCCAATCTATAAGGTCAATCCACTTCTTTTTATATACCCATTTATCTTTGGCAACGCTATAGGCATACATTGTCAGAATAACTACACAGAACTTAGGGGCTGACACAAAATCATGGAGGGTACAATGGCTTAATCTCATCCCATTGTGTAATCTTACCAAAGTCAAGAGCACACAGTGCTCTAATTTGGGTACTTACCTCTCAGGGAAGCTCCTCTGTTTCATTCTCTGCAAAAACATACAGATAAAAAGTAATTTTATGAGGAGACAATGCCGACCGAGGAGCAAAAGTCTATTTTCATTCCCTTCTCCCTTCAACTGACTGCAACATGCCTGTACGATATTATTAGGCAAAAATAAAACTTCTATTGGCTTAATCCGATATCTCTAAGCATTCAGCAACCAGCTCTAGGCTATGGAAGCCAGGGCAAGAGGGCCAGGGCTTGGAGTGTGGGGGTTCTTGGGGCCGTTCTGATGAGCCCCACGCATACAAGCTCACCTGCTGGAGAAGATCCAGGTGCTCCTGGGAGTTGCTGAAGTTTTTCCCAATGTCAAAGAGGCAGAAGGTCTCCTGCTGGCAGATGTCAACCCAGTCCTGGTATTCCCCTGTGTCAGGGATGCGATCCAGAAAGATCCGGTATGCTTCCCATACCGCTTCCTGACACACTGCAATACAGAGACACGGGGGTGGAAATGACCTGGTCCTAAGAGGACAGCCTTATCCAGTCCCAAGCACAGTCTCCTAACATGGAAACTTCCTTCATGGCTTCTGTTGACTCACTAATTGACAGCACCTAGAAATTCATTTATTTAACAAATATTTATTGAGCACCTACTCTCTGCCGTGAAGAAAAATAAAATAGGGAATGTGATGTGATGTGATGTGTGTGTGTGTGTGTGTGTGTGTGTGTGTGTGTGTGTGTGTGAAGACTGCAATTTAAAATTGGGTGGTTAATGGAATATTATGCAG